TTATTTACTTTTATTCAGTGCTATTACTGTTAAAGATTTAAAGAATATGGGAACTGTCATAAAGTTAAGTAATGGGCTCGTAGATGTGCTGTCAACTGTTATTTTTTGTACGATTGTAAAAGTTTCGAACAAAATTATTGCCCGTCATAAAAATACTATAGAAGCTTTGTTTTAGTTCCTATTTATTGAATATTTATTGCAAGAGACAGTTCTTTTAACACAAACGGTCTACACTATTTGGGACGTAACTTCTGATTCCAAAAATTTATTGATTTGAACACAGAAGATTTTAAGAATTTAAAAGTAAAGTAACGTCGTGAAGTAGCCAGATAGAGGTTAAGCTGTTTTTAAATTAAAGGAATAGAATTATATAAGCAATAAAATATACTACATTTTACATCATTACACTCAGGCATACGAGATAAATTTTTGAGAGAAATAAATTTTTATTGTAATCTTTTATAAAATTGGTACTAATTTTAATTATTTGTGCACTTGTCCTCTTCATAATCTTAATTTTTAATAATTTTTATATAGTACTCATCATCGTTCTTCATAGTATAATGGTATTTCATTACCAAATTATTGATGACCGTGTTCCAATTGAACTTGCACTACTTCTTAGTTTTTACAGCTACGGTTTTGAACATAAATCATCATAATACGAAAACATTACAACAGCTTTGTTAAAAAATGTCACCACGACTTATGAAATGTTTCGTTCAGTTTGGTTTAAGAAGAGCGGGACTGTTAAATGTGAACGGATTAAAAGGAGACATGTGTGGCAAAGGATGCCGCCTACCTTTGTTGTTTTTAGGAAAAATCTATGTTAAACGTACATATATACACATAAGTAAAGTATGGTTATAAAAGTTTGCTATATATGTATAATAAATGTAATTAAAAAAGAGTTCAATCATAGTTACAACGCTTTAAATTAAGAATTTTTGAAGTATCTTTGAAGGATATATCACAGGTTTAGATTATTTGAGAATTAAAAAAAAAATCCATCTGTAACATCGATGTTTATGTTGCCGGATATAAAAAAAATTATGGAATTTCAAAGGAATATATCAATAATGCTTGTATTTACTTAATATCTTTTAAAAGTAGGTTTACCTACTATATATAGTAATATTGAATGATACGAAACTGTTTACAGATTGCCGTTTTTGGTGGTTTATAATTTGGACCATCCATAACTTTGGTTACATTCCCGGAGCTACATATCATATCATTCGTGTTATGAGTTATTCGTTGTCTTACATGACTCATTGTTACGCCGCGCCGGTTCCTTTCAGCTTACTAAACTCTTAAATCCTTAATTCGACACATAATTATATAACTACGGGTATAAATCGGGCTTAGTGTCCTAAGTGCGATGCGCTTACATCGAAATATATTCTTGTTATACAAAAGCGAAAAGGAGATTATATCTAAATATGAGACATGTAGCGATTTGCGATTTCTGTTTACTTTTATTTTATTGAATATCTTTTAAACTTACCGCTTTAATGAATTATTTTATGTTGTAAATTGATTAAGATATGCTATTAAAAAAATAACCTGATCAAAACAGGGTCATGCTGTATATAGTAAACAAGATTTTTAATGTGGAAGTTAATGCCGATATTCGCATAATACGTTCGAAGAGTGTCGACGTGTTTTCGCCCGGGGCTAGGTGACGGGCCGTTGAGATAACATCGTACCTTATAATTTCTCCAACACCAGCAAACTCGTACATCGATGTTTTCAACAAAATCTGACCTCTATAAAAAGGATACCATAATCAAGGTATAGTCACATTCATATCAAGTTGGACAGCGGTGCACGCACACAGACTCGGGATCAAAGGCACCGACAGGCTCTTTTAGCCGCATAATATGACGCCCTCCCCCCTCCCGCAAAACTTGTCTTACCTCCAGGGCGCTTACTTGCCATTATTTATGCCGATCTATTAATAAACAAATTGATATAACGGATGATTAATTTATATAACTTTTAAAATTTTAGCCATTTGATGAATTGCTCTTTGTACCTAAAAAGCGGTTTCTTTAAGAGGAAATTATGAGCTTGCCAAAGTCATTGATGACTTTGTATGTAATTTTAGTTGATTCCACGATAAGATTGTAAAATTAGTTTTTTTATAATTTATAATCAGATAAGGATTATAGGTACTCAAGATGAGAATCGTTGTTGCCTCAGGCAGAGACTAAGCGAGCTTATCTAGCCTTTCCCTCTATTATTTTACATTTTAATTGTTGGCTTCGCTATCTAATTTGTTCAATCGTGGTAACAATCTTGTTATTTTTTATTGTTTGTTTTTGCCTCCTCCTATATCTTAATTATTTTATAATCATCATAGCGCTATTATTATTTCAGCGAATAAAGTATTTTAACTCTCCATGACACCTTTGATTGATGTTGGATTATGTTCTAATTAGCGATAACAATATTCTGTTAGGTTTATTATTTGTTAAGTTTTGAATGCCATCTTCTATGATATAATAACGTAACATGCGCATTCACTAGTTTCTTTTATTTAATTTTTAAGTAAAGGCCCTAGCGGCAAGTCGTCGCTTCAAAGAATATATTTCTTATAATAAAAGAACAGGGTTCGTCAAATTAGTATATAACGCGTTATGAATACAGAATGAGGTCAAATAGGGCACTTTCAAACAAACTATTATAATGAAATAAAATATTCAGTTCCATTCATAGCTTGTACCTTATATTATTCGTTGACGAGCCGTAAGGCGTTGCCTAGTTTGAACAGTTGGCATTTAGTTCAATGGAGGAAGATTTCGTTAGAGCGCATATCTACTTTTATTTTAATACATCGTATTTCGTCATTATATTTTATGGCATTGTGGCTTTGAAGTAGAACTAAATGTTTAAAAATAAGTAATAGCTAGATAAATCATATCAAATAAGAGTGAAATAAAAAAGCCAAGCAAAAATTTTTTCTATGAATACTCATTAAAAAATCATAATGTCATATTTAAACAAAAAAATATTAAATTCCTATATTAAAAAACTTTTTTATATATAATTCATACCTACCTCGAAGAGGGTCTTAGATTGAGGATGTTTATTTTTTGTGACGGTTTTAATTAAATAAAATATTCCATAGCGTACCTACGTTTAATCGAAATAGACTCATATTTTACGGACATAATAGAGCTGATTTGATAAGCGATTGCTACACCAGCCACGCGACCTGGAGGCCACACAAATATCCGAACGCTTGAAGAAGGCTTAATGGAATGACATAGCTTTGTGAATGCCGCCCAATTCTAATGCTCATTCAAATGGCATTTCTTCGCTTTGTTGCTTGATTTTGGACAGCAATAGCTTATTTTATTAGTGTTTAAATGATTTTAACAGGTTTCAAACAGAGATCAATTTGACGGGTTATGTTCAAATGGATTCTATTAATCATTCTTCAATTTCTTCATTGGTATAGGAATGGTATTATTGTATTTGGTCTACAAAGCCTTGACCCTGAGTTGATAGCCTTTTGGAATCAAATCAATGTTTACTCTACAAACATGTTTTATTGTTACGCTAGTATTGTAAATATTTTTCATGATATTGAAAAGAAATGGTAACATGTGTATGAAATTAAAACAAATAAATCAAATCATTTCATGGGCATGTTTAAAATATCAAATGTTGTTTACAATATTTTTGCTCAAGTCCATCAAGAATAATAATTATTACATAATATCGAATGATTGTTAATATTTTAACTTGAAGGAAACTTAGATCACATATGTAGGCAAGTAGCATGACGTAAAGCCTCATATAAATTTTACTATTGGCACATTAATGTCGCTACGTGAAATTGATTTGCAAGCAGAAACATATTATGATTGTGAAAACGGGGTTTACGATTTATTTACACAGTATAATATTAACTCCAAACATTATGCACTATCATAGTAATGTTAAATTGAAGGAGGAGTATTCCGTTCTGTGGCATATTTTTTTTATTGTTTTAGTTAATTTTAGTTTTAAAAAATGCCTTTCGTAAGTGTTATCTGCCTTTTTGTTTATTGTGATATTGTTCATTTTTAATTCAAGCAATTTATATTGTTAAGCTTGTATAAAATTTTAAAATGTTTGCAAACGAGGTCAAGTTCTGTAGGGACCTGCCAATTATTCATAGTCTTTAGATGCATACCTGCAAATAAAGAAGGATCTTACCTAAAACTTTAGAACATATTCAGATAGTCAATTCATAAGTTTATCGATGCACTATTGTTTAAATTTTATAGGGCATAGCTTGTAACAAACGCGCGAACGGGATATCTTTACGCCTATTGCCTTCGTAACTTTTATTGGTCACTCTACCGTAGTGTGCCTCTGACGGTATCGAAGCAATAACCTATGACATTTAAAATCATAACCAATATACAACGAAACGTGACAAATTGTAAATAAAGAAAAATCAAACTCCTCGTCATAATAGATGAGACTATTATGCTCAAGATTTTAAAGAACTGTGCGAAAAAGCAAGTGAAATGAGAACGTTGAAAAATTATTTGAAGTGCTCCGTCAATTTCCAAACAACGAATTCATTTTAACGTTTCGGAACGTTGGTGATGAGCCCCGGATTAAAAAATCGGAATCCATTAAATTGAAAAGAAAACAGTAAAGCAAAAATGTACTTAAGAAATTCAATCACGAAATAACAATGAGTATGACATCTGGACGATTCTTCAGAGTTTGATGAAATTGTGATTGCTAATTAAAGTTGACACAGAAATGCGAATAGTGAATAGAAAATCTTCATTTATTTTGATACGCTTTGCCTCTTACGTTTAGCATTAAATGATTGACTCTGTATCAATTTCGTTTTACATGAATGCGACGGTTGAACGAATTGGAACATGATTATGTTATTTTAAGGAAATTTTCTTCCATCTATAGAACTGCGCCTTCATCTTTTGCTTAGTGTGTGATTATATTTCAAGAGAACTACTGTTGCGCCAGTCATGAATAAGACACGTAAGTAATAAAATAACTACTAGCTTCCGAATAGGCAGTGACTATTATTTTTTGCAGTCAATTCAATGTTAGCATTGTGTCAATTTGTATACCACCCTGGTAGCATCTATTGTACTCACAAAATGGCGCATGATCAAATTGTGCTTCCGGACGATTGCATTTCATGAATCAATGTATAAAGTTGTTGTTAACTTTGCCTCCTTTTAAGCTAATAGTGTTACAATGTTTAGGAATTCTATTACGCATTGTTATTTTTTGAAACTTTATGTATAAGTTGTGTGTTCAATTGAGCTTATATTTTTTTATACAGTCTATAAAATGTTCTTGTAATGACTTATCTTATAAAAACTATTTATTTATTTCAACTGTTTAATTGTTAAGAGTTAAAATAAAGTGATTGGTAACATACGTTATTTCTTAGCCTTAAACCACCCAAATCTATATAAAAACGCTATTATAGGCACGTTATGCGTCATAAATATTTCGAGAACATTAAATTAACACTCAAAAACATGGGCTCTTAAGGCACCACAACGTCTACGGGATTCCAATAAAAAAAATATATTCGGGGATCACTTGCAGAAACTTAGCCGGGTCGGCCCATAAAAATCTAAATTCTTTTCTTAAACGAAATCTTATTGCAATGAAAATAAAGATGAATATGTGAACTACAATTTCATTTCTTGTGGCATCTTTGTGTTCATACTAGAATTAGAATACATATGTTGTTTGTGTTACGGTTTATTTTACAATAATCTGTTTGTGGATTCTCGCCTTATCAAAGGACATACTTGTTGACATGTTGTTTAATTGATCGGCGGTTCTCTGCAGGGGTCTAGGGTCGTAGTGTGGCGGTATCTTTGTGGAATTATTCGAAATTGATAAACTATAAATGCCACAAGTGGAAGATGCCACTGTTATTTTTTTTCTTCGTAAATGATAGGTGTCTGTCACTTTTGAAGAATAAGAGGAGTGAATGTTGGAATTCGGTTATGTATGTATTTTGGTAAAGACTTTTTTGTAGCATTTTTAATATGATTGAAAATATACTTAACTATAAAAATTCATTGTGTTTAGATAATTTTAAAAACTTGAATAACTAAGTAAATTTTAAACCCACCTCTGAGGAAAAATATGTATAACTTTTATTAGATAAAGATTATTCTATTATACAATTAAGGTCATAATGGGGCCTACATAATATATTTTGTTAACGCTTTTCGGCTGGATAGACGTCATCATACAAAAGCGTTGCAAAAATCGATGATCGGCGGCTTCCTTTGACGATAGGTGGTCCTACCACTACCCATGATGTGATTATAATAGCCACTTTACTCACACATACATTAATAGTGCCAGAAATATTTTCTACCACGAGAAGATTTTATTTGCAATTACTGTCGAACGAACTTAATTATCGCTCCCGATGCTCATCACGATAAAAGATTAATTAACTTTTTGATGACTTACCTTTCATTGTGGGAAATTGCGAATGACCACATAAATATAACGTAGGTATTAAATAAAAAAGAAGATGAAATAAATAACATGTTCTAAAGATAAAACACTGAAAAAAATATATGCTGTTTAAAAGTGAATTTTGCTATAAAATATTCCATTTTCTACTGAAAAACACAATTTTATGATATAACAATCATTCTATACGAGCTTTTGTACTTATGTCAAAGTCAGAAACAGTTTTTGATTCCTTTTAAGTGAAATCGGGTAACTACTTCAACTTAATACCGCACGCAATCAAACGTAAAATAAGCAGTAGCCGGTCGTTGTATTGATGGTATTGATGCTGTGTATCGGTCTTAGGATTTATTTACATTATTTATATTCCATTAAATATTATGAATGATACTTTTTTCTTAAAAGAACTTTGACTATAAGTGTGAAAAGATGCATGCACGAGTCAAAACGATATTGCATTTCGAAGTTTTTGCGGCTTATTCATAGAATAATATTTTACAGGACAAGGACGTATGAATCAGTTAGGCGGAGTGTTCATTAACGGACGTCCTCTGCCGAATCACATCCGTTTAAAAATCGTGGAGATGGCAGCGGCTGGCGTACGGCCTTGTGTCATCTCAAGACAGTTGAGGGTCTCTCACGGCTGTGTCTCTAAAATACTCAATAGATACCAGGTAATGATTATTTATTATTATTTATACTACATGTGAATAATGTATATAAGTATTAAAGTGGAAGAACTTTAAAGTATTAAAAAATATATTTTTGTTAGGAAACTGGATCTATTCGCCCTGGTGTGATAGGGGGATCGAAGCCGAGAGTAGCGACGCCCGAAGTTGAAAACAGGATCGAAGAATTGAAGAGACAAAACCCAGGTATATTTTCCTGGGAAATTAGAGATAAATTAATAAAAGAAGGCATATGTGATAAAAACACCGCGCCATCAGTAAGTTCGATTTCGCGACTCATAAGAGGAGGCAAAAGGGACGAATCAGATCCTAGAAGGAACCACAGTATAGATGGTATTCTTGGTAAGTTATACTTACCTGAACTAGTATAAAGAGATTTAAAACATATATGTCAAATTACAAAAGTGTCTAGTGATATTACGACAATTCAGAAAGTTCATATTGTCCGCGTATAAAGATAGAGCGGTATATTAGTTTACATAGACCTTTTTGAAATGAAATGAGAATCTCGTTTGTTGGAAACTGTATATTACTAAAGTTCTCTTTACATTTTTAATAAATGTTACTTGCTGTATGGGAATATAGTTCTTTATTTCTATTCCGCATAGAAGGTTATCCCTAATGATAATTTAATAACATATTATTTTTTAGACCTCCAGTCACTGTAGCAACATTTTCATCTTGGTGGATAAAACCTTAGCTTTAATGAAGCGTTCATAACTACCATGTCATCGTAGTCTTTAACGTGGATTCAAGACCATAATCACTTAATTCACTTTAAAGTACATTATTATTATAAATTTATTCCCATAATGAGAATATCGGAAACGTTTGCAAACTTAGTAAAATGGCGTATAAAGTTAATAATCCACGTAAAAGCGAAGCAAGCGAGGCGCGCGCGCACGCCACGGCAGCGCCCCTTGTGTCGGCTTCGGAAATTGTAGGTTATAAAAATGAAATTAGTACTCAAAGGTGTTATTATCCCATCGCGTTTGGCCGCGAGGCTTGCATTACGACAATCTGTCCGTACAGCACGTCTTGTGCCGTATAGCTATCCAATATAAAATGGCGCTCCTAATATCCCGGTTCTGCGATGGTGCGGTTTTGCCGGAGAGATTCTGCGCCCCGATAAGATTATGCATATTATGTTGTGTGGCGGCTAAGGTAATATCTACACTTGAAAAGCGGTCCCCTTATACTCATGTTCGCGAACTTAAAATTTGTGTTCTATACCGTCTACGAAGGCGTTTAGACGTACATAAATTGCATTTCGGGAAGTATTTGCAGTTCTATCAAATATTATGAAATGTGTATGTATTTTTCGTAATAATTAATCTTAAGCACGCATAAGTAAATATTTATTGTACTAGGAGTTGTGTGATTGTAATACTTGTTCCGGAAAGTGTACTTAAATATTTATAAGAAGTAATTATTTATTCATAATTTTTAATAGATAAATGTATTAATAAATAATTAGATATTTTGGCTCCAAAGGCGGTGCCGTTAACTTTAATTTAATCGAGACCACGTGTGGTCCAACAGTAGCGATGATGATAATAACAATGGAAATTGTGAAACAAAATAATGAACAAAAAGAAAGTCGCATTAAAATGACAAATGTATTCGATAATCGTTGTTAATTTAATGTATAGTGATTTAGAGTTTTATTTTCCCCATTAGAATTTGTCACGTAGCTGCAATTGAGTTATCAAGATAGAAAGTAAATTTTCCATTTAAATAGTAATATTCTGATATAATTCAGGTGAAATTAGTTCAGATTAAGAGGAAAGAATTTAATAGGCCTATAACCCTTTCAGACCTGAGATTTTTATTCTCTTTGATTATCAAAATTTCTATGAATTCTGTATAGTTAGTTATGACATGAGATGTAAAAAATACTAAAAAAAATATCTTTCTGCTACCAATCCTGAAAACTACGTGCTACGATCGTGAGTTCTGGGTTTCACCCATACCTGCTCACGATAGTGAGTTCGTAGTATTTCACGGTACTTATGATCAGAAATGCTGTATATTTTGTTATAAGTTCAAAAAAGATTTATTTATTACTTTATTATGAGGTAACAACCATATATTCATTTTTGTGAAGATTAAAATACAAATAAATAAAAAGTACAATTAATTAGAAAAAATATTATTATTTACTCAATCACAGTTAAGGTAGAAACGTATCGTAATGCCTTATGGTAAACTAAGATAGATCTTAAAACAAATTAACATACAGTTTAAATATATATAAAGAAAACAAACTATTTATTAAACAAAATGTAATTAAGTAACTTTTAGTACTGTTATTACAGTATCAGTCTTCATATAATACTTATGTCAATTTTGCAAATCAACTTAAGAATTAACAATTAATTAAATAAATTTAAGAAATATTTGTCTTATTTGGCGTGATATTGGTAAAAACAATCTTTATCCCGACTAAGGCACAAATAAACACTACATTTGCGACATCTAATTTTTGAGCGAGAGGAACAGCGCTCGAGGCGACATTTGCGTGGAGCTTTTATATCATCAAATGCTGGAAAATGGTCATAACCATCGTATCGCTTTCCAATCGCAGGGTTGTTGGCTGGTTTGTATCTGCCTGAACGATTTATTTGAATTTCAGCTAATGGAGATAATTCTAGCCGATCTGTTTCTGGGGTATTAATTAAAGTTTCAGCAATTTCATATCGGAATGAAAGGAGGTCCAGAATACGATTTTTGGGAATTCCTTTGGCTAAAGAATCGCACCTGTAAAGACGCCAGGCATTTACAACAGCCAAATCCAAAAAGTGGAGTATAACTTTTAAAGTCCATTTGCGTGTTTTCATGAATGTCCTATAATATTCTATTGATTGATCTAGGACGTCAACTCCACCCATAAACGAATTATACGAAGTTATAATCTTTGGAGCATCAACATCGGTATAGCATTTTTCTTTCTTGTCATATCTTTTAACGATTTCAACTGACGTACCACCTGTGCAGTTCGATGCAGTAAAAATAGCTTTACTGTCTTTCCATTTTACCAAGACAATGTCATTGGATACTCTTTGGTCAATGTCTCCCCTTCGCATCTTTTTGTCATCTTTGAAATTCAACTGTTGACGTTCCGGAATACGATTGGTCATTATTGTGCCAGTTCCATGATAGCCAAGTCTTTTCATTTCATCCAACAAGGGGATAGTAGTAAAATATCTATCAAAAAAGACACAACTATCCGGTGGCACGCTCTGAATGAGGCGCAAAACTACACCAGGTCCAAGTCCAAGAGGATGAGACAATGCATGGTTTCGGCCATGATATATTTCGAAATCCACCATCAATCCTTCACTGGTAGTGACAACAAAATTTTTAATTCCTACTGGACGCGGCTTATTTTTAATAAGTTGTTTAAAATGACATTTACCAGTGAAGGGTATCATTTGTTCGTCTATTGAATACGGTCCGGGTGTTCTTAAAATCTTCCGACATCCTTCTCGAACGCAGTCTATCACTGGTTGCACCTTCCAGAGTGGATTAATTGTGTCACTGATGGGCGCTGTATCGGACTCGACTACATGTAAATTATTACGAAGCGCCATAAATCGATCCCTCGTCATCGTAGATGTAATTGCCTCGATACTTATATTTTTTCTCCAATACATCGCAATTCTAGGGTACGATAGAATGCCCATCAAAAGGTGAATCCCGAACAATTTTTTTAATTCTGGTCGAGTGCACTTTAATACTTGACCAGTTTTTCTCATATAATACATGTTCGTACAAACCGACATTCGTTCAAAGAAATAATCATTGTAATAGTCATGAAAATAAGCAATGGGGGATCGTATCGCACCTGGTTCTGGATGACCAGGATAGTTGTGCTTCTTATCGATGAAAGTAGTTTTCTTCCAGATTCGTTTACGCTGCTTAATTTTTACTTTAACTGCTTTCTTTCCCTTTTTCAAACTCGAGGGGCCAGCTTCGTCTTCATTTGGTGTATTTCTTGCAGCTTTCCTTTTTCTACTTTCTTTCGGAAATGGCGATGGACTTAGGGTGGAGGGTACTTCATTATGGTCACTAACTTGTAGTTCGAGAGGCGCCACAAATTCTTCGTCATCATAGTCCAGGTCTATGTCAGAGCAGTTGCCATCCTCTAGTAAGCTTAGAATTAAATCATCTTCTAAAGGTAATCCTAAAATAAGAGAAAATACTTGAAAAACATACAACACTTCACTAAGTCACGTTAGTGAGCTAGTACAGTTAAGACCCAAAGCTCACGATCGTGCTGTTCCTTTTTTGCTCATATCGTTACCCTTAATTAGCAATATTTAAGAGAAAAAAATTAATTAATATGATGCATTATGTATCAGCCTATGTAAAAATACATGCCGATAAAAGGAATTTCAATAAAAACTCAATATATTGAATAAAACTTACGTCGCTGACTCCGGCGATCAAGGAACGCAGCCATCTTGTCCGATCACACGCGCCGACTAAGCTATTTTACCGCGAAAATGATTTCTCATTGGCTCTTTGACAAGCGCACGAACATGTGGTGGCGGTTTGACGCGTAGAAACGAATTATGCGCGACGTTTGAATTTTTTAAAGTCACAAGTCACGATCGTGTGACTCAGGTCCGAAAGGGATAATGAGTTCTACATATTTTCTTCCTTTTGTAGGACCATCGTCATCGTGTGAGGATTCTGATACGGAGTCTGAGCCTGGTATAACGTTAAAAAGAAAACAACGAAGATCTAGAACAACCTTTTCTGGAGATCAACTTGAAGCTCTCGAGCGAGCTTTCACTCGAACCCAATACCCGGACGTTTACACTCGTGAAGAATTAGCTCAAAAGACGAAGTTGACTGAAGCACGTGTTCAGGTAACTAAGATAATATATATAAATATATTTTCCCTCATAACAGCGAAACTGTTTCACTAAATAATAGATTTTGCTATAATTATATGTTTTTTATAATAAAAAAAATTGAGTAATGTCCCCGTCCGCCCATATAATAGAATGGTATAAAAAAGGTTGTAATAGCCTTCATAATTAATTATGACATGTAATCCAGCTACCATATGTTGTATGCTACTGTACCCTTTTTGTTGAATTAATGGCCTTCGATATAATTATAAAACCCAATAATTATTGAAATTCTAACATAGTCTGCAATTACCTTAATCTAACTTTGTAATAACGTGTTATGATACTTTAACTCAGCTCTTACTTTCTTATCTATTGAACTACTTGATAAAGAAATTAATGGTCATATAACAGCAATAAATCAAATTTGTATAGGATTTTATATCATTCTAAAATATAGACTAAGAGTTTTATAGGTTTAACGCATTTTAAGCAATATGATCTACATATATTATTTCGTTTTAGGTATGGTTCTCAAACCGAAGAGCACGTCTTCGCAAACAACTGAACTCACAACAATTGAGTGCTTTCAATACAATGTCTTTACAATCTGCATTTCCCTCCGTTCATCAACAATACGAACCACCAACAACATTTAACGCACAATGTGCGTCTTGGCAACAATCATATTCTGCTTTGGGTAGCAGTTCTGTTCTGAATTCTGCTTTAGCACCTTCTTTACATCAGTCTTCATTATCAGCTCCTTCTGTTTGTCAATCAGCTCTTACAGCACCATCCCTCCATCCTCCCACATCGAGTTCATATTCATCAGGAAACTTGACGCCATTGTCTCATTCGTCTGAACTTCCAACACCTATACAAGCACCTACTGATGCTACACCACCAAGTTCAAGCCCAATCACTTCCAGCCCAGCTGGAAATCAAAGCGGCGGCATTACTTACCAACATCCAACTTACACCAATAGTAGTGATGTAGTTTCACACCCATATGGCTACGGTGACTACGCAAAACAAGAACATATGTCAGCACATAATCACTGGACTTCAAGACAACTGAGTGGACATTCACAAAATAAACTAGCAGAAGTCAGCGCTTGGCCAGAAAATTATAGGTAAGTTTAAAAATATACCGATTAGATATATCTCTTCTAACAGTGAATCTACTAATAAATATTAACTTCCTTTAATATCTCAATAAGCCCTGGCGGCGACTAAATTACCTTTATGAATTATTGATGTTTGCTTCTTATGTCATGTTCGACTTTTGGATTACGGAGACGAACGTCAAATTATGATAAATTACGTCAAAATTTAAATATTTTTATTTTAATACGTTACATTTATATTTTCATTCTAGTTATGGTTATCGCTAACACCGCAAAAATATAACAACCAACTTTATGTACCTGTCGTTTTGCAATTTATAATACAGTGGCTTGATAGTTAAAGTACAATCGAAGCGTAGATCTCGCTGAATTGTTGTTCATTTTATTTCTTTTTACCATCCTTTATCATTAGCCGGAGCGGCCGCTAATCAATTAAGAGTGTAAGAAGTCAGCCATTATACGGCGCACGGGTAGTTATTACAGACCTCTCTTCATAATATACCGATGCGATCGGTACGGCAATGGGCTGCGATTTTTATGTACATTTTTGATCGATTACTAATTACTTTCCAACTTTACCACACATTTACTTTTACTTTGATGTAATTGAGTTTTTAATTTCATAAAATACTTTTCGGTCATTATGTAACAATGAAATTGTCGAAAAGCCATGCGACAAATTTATCGTCGTTTTGTATTTGAAACGGTGACAACATTTATCTATGTTATCGAGACAAAGCAAGTCTATAAACTTAGCATTGGACCACACACAATATATTTTGTAGTACAATGAGAGACATTCTAATAATATATGAGTTAGGCTCATGTATGGTGTCAGAATATGCTAGTTCTTTAGGTAACGACAATTGACGTAACTAAAGAGAGGCTATTTGTTAGCTTCGACGAAAATGTTTTCTCTTCCATGGATTAAAAGAATTTGTGTCATTAAATTTTTGAGTGGTTTAAATGAAATATATGAAAAATTTATTAATCATTCTACCAAGGATTATTACAAAGGATGCTGCAAAAATGAAATATAAAATAAATTTAAGAGGTTGACCTTCCCTAACATTGTAAAAGTACTATTTAATTGTGTTTTTTTTTTTACCTATATACTCTAAAATTCTTCTATACAAAATGATGCCTATCTTAATGTTACAAGGTCCATTATCATTTGCTTCAACACATGAAGGCTTTATCGTCGCCTTACATTGCGGAAAACAGATAAACATATGTTGCTTTGTAGTGAGCGCTTGGCAATTAATGGGAGGCCGAACGTGACATTAGTGCGATGAACCTGTGCATTAAAGCTAACTCGAACCTTGTATTAAAACTTATCAGCAGCTATTTGCATTCAACTTCCTAAACATCGTTCTGTTTTATTGGACACTACAACACGGACCGTTTGTTTGAAGCGTGATTGATGAATGGTGCAAAACTAAAATTGCTTTTCGATTGCACCTTGATTGAAATACTAGACTTCGGCGTAAATCATACAGTACAGACATAAGTACAGATTGTGATATTGACTTTTGTGACCCATTTTGTAAACTAAACGGTACGAGTGAAATGTTTTATATGTTGTTATCATATGCAATATTAAAATGTTTGATCTACGGAAAAGTTTGTCTTAGATCCAAATTTTGTTTTCAAAATCTGCGAAAATAATTATAAATACTCGCTACAGATGGTTTATGAAAAGTAGTTGGTTTGCAATTTTAATAATGTTACTTTTACAAATTTTTGAAATTTTAAACTGAATTAATTTAACTATTTCGATTCGCAGGTTATGAATTTTTATTTCTCCATTTGATCAATTGTTAATACAAATTAAGGATTCCTGATTCGCGTGTATCGTTCCACTTAGTAGTTTCAGCTTTCCGAAATGATATCTTGCACTGTAATTACGATAACTGATTAAATTCTCTTTCACCTGTTTCGGTTTTATCATCATTATAAGACCAACTGCTTATTTACGGTAGTTACAGTAGCGATTTTTACAAGTTAACTAACATATGATTACGTTACACATAATTTCTTTTACGTAAGTTAGTGAGTTATGCTTAAGTATCAACATTTTTATATTATAAGCTGAATTTTGTAACATTGTTAATATTCCATGCTAGGTATTATCGTGGCAAACGTTTTAATCTCAAAGCCTATCCACCTACACATTCTGTAATCTATTATTGTTTATGTGTTACTTCGAACATGAATAAGCCTTAATAACGTATTAGCCACTGAATTCAATTGAATTTATAATTTTATTGAACGCTTAGTCACGATTTGTTTCTATAAAACGTCATTTATATGTTTTCTTTCATACAATTTCGGACCAAATTATGCATTCCGGTAGACTAAAACTAAGTTTAAATTATACAGATATTAGTTATTGCTCTGTGATTATTAAATACAGCCGATACTTTCGTCTTCGAGTCAGAGCAATTATTTTATTTATATCGTATAATCTGTTCCCACGCTTGTCTCGGCCACACAAAATCTCCGTATTGTTTTATTATATTTGCATAATAACCGAAAAATTGCTGCGATTCTACGATCTAAGCTATTTCCAGCCAGTTTATAAACTTGCTAAGTTTATTAACTTCTGCAGTTTCTGATTATAAATTGGATATACTGTTTAAAGACGTAATAAAAAAATAATTCGTTTATTATATACAATAAATTTTTGATTTATCTTTTATTTTTCATTGTTTCAGTTCATTCTTTGGCGCGAATACTCACTATGCATCGCACGCGCATTCACCTAGTGAAGCCAAATCTGGTTATCCGTATATAGGACAGCTTGGTGGAATGGATATGGGGAGAGTACATTGATGCATGTACCATGAGAAAAGACGATTAAACTACCCTTATTGTAATAGTTTTGGAAATAGTTAAGTCTTTACGGACGTGAGGGTTTTATTGTGTCTTTATTAAAACGAAATTTTAGAATTTTATGTATTATATTCAGCCTTATAATGTACTTGTATTAATGCATACCTACAGTGCCTTGGATTCAGATGTATAAATTTTGATATTTCTATTTTATAGCTTTATTTACCTCTACTATTTTGTAAGTAAATTTGTTCCTATAAATAGTAATTTTTCGTAGTTCAATTGACTTATGTATCTTAACTTGCAATTGTTTAGTATGAAAATAGGTTTAATTATAATATAAGATATGTATATAATGTAGAATATTTACATAAGTATTTTCTTAATTAGCAGTTTTTAGTATTGTTGCAATTGTGATTTTACGATGTATTTATTTTAAAGTTACGTTTTAAATATAATAGTGTAATTTAATGTAATAAGCACTTTTAAAAATTGTTTATACAAATAAACTTTAACATTTAAAATATACATCTGGTTTTTATTCACCATCACTTTGTCGTCAATCAGTTCCTTTGTTTCATTCTACATCTTTGTTCTCAGAAATGTTTGGAATTATGTATTTGAAATTAACACAAAACGGGCGAACGGTCCTTTAACACGTAAAAACTAAATTTTAGGTACACTTGCCTTTCTTAATTCTATGTGGGTAACTGAAATTGCTGGAGCATTAGGCCTCATATATTTGATGTAAATGTTAGTTATAACCCAAAGTTCTGTTTCAATATCTTTGTTCTAGCCTGGAATGTTGAGTTTCATATATTTCGTCTAATATGTTAAGTTTGTTCTCCCTACCACTATCTATTTACAGAACAATGCCCGCTCGGAGTTCTAACTTCATAGTTTATGAAGTTTAGTAGCGCATAATTATTTAACGCTACTATTACAACCTAATATATCCTCATATAAATCCACTTTGTGAATATAAACTTAATTAGTATAATTTTAATTCTTCTCCTGTAACTGTTTGTCTTAAGTCTTGTTTCTACAATTTAAATTTAACTTACTAAGAAATATTTTTTACATATCCTCTGCCCGTGATCACGGGTGTTGAAAGGTAACCGAAACGTCGGGAGTACGTAGTTCTTTAAAATAATAAAGTAAGTAGGCAATCTAGAAAAAAAATTCTTTTATCAAAGACGTTCTTTTAATTTTTGAACGAATTTTTAAAGTATTTGTTTTAAATAATGTATGAACTTATTTTTCGGTTTCACATTTGTCATTAAAAAAAACTCTCACGATATAGGTACAAATGTTCAAAATGTTGTAATGTGATTTCTTAATATATGGGATTGAATTATGTGCTTAGAATAAAACCGTCTTATTAACAGATTGTACATTAATACATAGTACAAAGTAACATAAATAGTATGTAGTACGTTAAAAAAGTACGGACAAGGAAATTAAAGAATTTTACATGAAAAAATTTATTTTAAATTAAAAATATCTGTACAGAGTAATAACTGTAACAAAATGTAAAAGGGAATTAAAAAAGCGACGTTGGAACGTGGTGTATGCAGTGTGGATTAATTACAAAATACAGTTCCATAGAAAATAGAAATGGAAATTCTCCAGTGCTGTGTACATACCATACATTTCTTTTTTTTATTTCTTTTTATTAATATATTTTCTATTTCCGTTTTTTAATATATTTCCTAAAAATGTAAACGCTTTTATAGGTAAGAATATTCTACAGAATCTTTCTATATACTGAAGTTATATAAGGAGTAGAACAAAAACGTATCAAAACGGATTAATCGTTATTTTAATATTCATTGAAATTAATAATTAGATTTCATTCATATTAAGTATAATAGATAGGGTTTATCTGTACAAATACATGTCGTGGGCAGATAGGATGTGATAACAATAGGCGAATTCATAGAATTGGAATTCCCATAAATGTCTAAATCACAATTTCGACGAATAATCTATTTCATACTTGTAAAATTAATTATTTATACTATTTATTTCATTTTGTAAAACAAATACGCGGTGTATATCTGACATCAGCTATATATAGATATTATACTTGATATTACTATTTGTTGACTAACTCGCAAATATAACTACTGAAGTCATGGGTTTACATAAAGTAGTCACTAATGACAACTATCACAATAGAGAAAATGTTTAATAATTAATGAGCCGTGCAAAATTTTCGAAAAAGAAGACTTATTAACCAATTTGAGTTGAACTCACTAACCGAGAATGTAGCTTTTCATGGAGTTCAATATTTTCGAAATTTTATTATTTTTGGAATGAATTTTATCATCTTTGTAGTGACTAAATAAATCATAGAAATATATTTTAACGTTTTACTGAACGACCACAAAAAAACAGATAGGTCTCAATAACAGCAAACACACGAATAAAATATAAAAATAAATATACAAAAATTGCCTTTTTAATGAACGGGTTTATTGACACGTGAAATGAAATATTTTATAAACTCATGTTTTAAAATAAAATCCATTTCCAATAACTACTACCTCGCAATTGATGTTACACAAAATTTGACGACGAGTTATATTTTAATTTTTACAGTATGAAGTGGAAATATGTTTTATATATCAACAGAAAATTTCCATTATATTTTGAGTAACATTATAAACTGATGGAAGGCAATCATTAGCGTTATTATTGTATTTCATAGTCATAATATTAAACTATTCTTCAGGGGTAAGTAAAGAGACAATAACGAGAATAAAGACTTTACCGTTCCCGTTTCGACAATAGCACTAAATATCTTTCTGCACAGTATGGGGTGTAATTAGGCAGTCAAATGCATGCTTAGCACCAGACGTTCGTATAGCGTCAGAAGAACAATATATACGAGTAGATATTCCCATGGAATATTAGTATTGTCAACTATAGAAGTCATGTATATAAAGACTATTTTCCCTGAACTGCAAGAAATAAATACTATGCCATTTATTTGATTTGTGAGCATGTAGGTAACAAAATAGCTAAGAATATTCTTAGCTCAAATAAGATAGACAACTTATTCACTGAATCACGGAAGAGTTGAATGAAAACGTGACTGAATTCTGATTTTTATTTTTTTTCATTAAAAACACTCGAACAAAAAGTAGCCAGTAAAGCACACGCGTGGGAATCGCGGATCTATTCCGCCTGGCTGAACGCACTGATAGAGAGGTTTTAAATTTTCGTGTTGTTAACTCTAAAAACAAGTTTTTAACGCTTTTAACGCTTAATTCAACAACATTCTTATTTTTTTTATTTTCCTAATTCTATTCTGTAGAACATTTTTAAGATGACTAGTTAGCTATAAATGACGAATGCGGTTATCATGAACTTGGCTTCAAATTATTAGTTACAACTGTTATTATTGCATGAATTATGAAGCTCATAAATATTATAGGCTAAGAGTTTGTAAAGTGATGTCATATTATAGTTTTGAAACACGTCACGTTCGCTATTGTAATAATGGCATTTATTTTATTGCATTTTTAATATGTTTCCTTATAGTGTACAATTTAGGCCGAGTTACATCTTACGAAATTCTCTTATAAAGTATATCGATGCTGATGATATTTTTTATCTTCATATTAATATATCTGATCATACGATTCAATAATCGGTTCATCCAATGTGTTTTTGAGGTTTGGTTTACTAATATACCGATTATGTTACGTTATACATTGAAATTTAACCAAAAAAAGATTTATAAATGCAATTCGAATAATATAGTGTAAACTTAGTTAGTAAATTGTTTCTCTTATATTTACTTTAAGTTTATCAGAAAGTCGTGAGTCTATTTTAATTGGTCATAAAGAATCTGGTGGAAAAATGGGGCGGAGACTGATCGTGAAGGCGTAAGACTTTTTACTTATCGTCTCGTCGGTGACATTTCAACCATTTTGTACAGGTTTTGTCTGCACATTGAAAATAAAAAGTCACATCTCCTCATTCCTGCGTTTTAACTTTTGAGATACTTTTTATAAAGAAAAAATATCTTTATAGTAAATTAATATCTGTCTAGCTTAATCCGATTTAGCCCGATTTATTTTACAAAATACACAACACAAGCTCAATTTTGTAGTAATTACAGTTGTTACACTAATTATGATAGTAAAAAATTATATCATCGCTATTGGTAATGTATACAGGGTGACTGGTGAATTACTATCAATATTTAAGGAGCATACTCGGTACATGATTCTCATTCGAATTATGTAAAAAAAATAGGCACTTAATTTTTGACAAAATTTCCGTATAAATAAGTAAAGTGTTGACACGTTCCAAGTGTTCAAGTGTGGACGCGTGCGGCGACGTGTTGATACAACACCACGTCACGACATGCGTATGTGTGAGTGTCAGTGTATACCTAATTTGTAGGGTGTTCACACGATGCGTAATTAATTACATAACTTTTGGTTAACTTTACTTAGAAGTTTATTAATATTTATGTTATATTAATTTTTATTTTGTCATATATGATCGTCAAATATCACGTCCTCAAATATCGATAGTAATTCACCAGTCACCCTGTATAAGATGAATATTTTTATTAATTTTACATACAATTTAAATAATTGATTTACCAGAGATTCAATTTCAAAACTTCCGACCAAATACCATACATGAATGAAAGTAAACTTAAAATAAACAAATTAATTTTCCGTATCGAAAAACAACTTTTAAACATCTATATCTAATTTGTTCTCACACATCATCGTGAGAAAGAAAATCACAATTCGAATTACACTAACTGTAAAGCAATTAAGAGTTTGGAATAGTGACAGTTATTTTGACTTGTGTATTGCAGGTTGTATCGTGGGTTTCGGATTTTGCGTCAAAAATTATGGTAATCGGTCATCGGCTCTATTTTGGGAAAAGTCAATTGGATGATCGATTTTCGCGGATAGTGCACGCACGTGTCCCATCGATGTCTCGCTTTGTTACACTATCGTTGTCGA